GCCAAGCAAATATAATTCTGTTGCAACATATATGACTTGTTTTGGTTCCTTATCAAATGACGGAGTTTTAGATTAGCAAAAAATAAAAATATATTTTTAAGCTGTATATTAGGAGCACAGGTAAAACAAAACAGCAACCTTAAAGAAATAGAGGAGGACATGCCAGGCAAATGTAAACAAAGGGAAAGCAGGATTGACACATTAGTGTCAGCTCGGATGGAAACTGTTATGTATGGCTTGTGTTTAGATGTTACCCCAAAGCATCATGCTTTTTCAGGGGGGACTGAACCTGAAGTGTCTGATTGATTCATGGTGGGTCTAGGCCCGAGGGCACCGAGATTAATTAACTAACACAGAACTCAAGATTAAAATTGTCAAATAAGAAAAAAAGTATTTTAAGGAAAAAGTATAGTTTACACAGATACTGTTTTAGGCTCTCCTTTATTCACTGACCAATATACTTATGGAATATTAAAAACAAAAAATAGAAGTACAGAAGAACATATTAGGGACTTTTGGTGTATTTCTTTTATAATTTGACAAAGTAGATGAATAGTGATATGTTAGTATTGATGTGAGGCATTTGTATCCTATATACAAAGAATGTGTATTTTTCTCATGTCTGTAAAACATTTACAAAAAAGTATGTTTCTGTTGCCATAGGAAAATACTTAATGAATTTGTGAGGAGGACAGAGATGATATTTTCCTTATCTCACTTTTTATTTCAGTGCTATAAGAAATTGGTGATGAAAGAATAATATACAGAATTAAAATGCTTGAAATTAAGAAACTCCCTTGTGGATGATTCCTAGATAAGTTGAAAATCAAGTACAAAGTGACAAGTTACCTAGAAATTAAATAGTATGTAACACATCAAAACTTACTGGGAAATCATTATGGTATTCAGGAATGTTTTATACCCTAAATGTATTTGTTATATAATTTTTAAAGAATGAAAAAATAAGGATTGCATCTAAGAAATTTTTATACTCTTCCAAAAGAAGGAATTAGTAACAATAAAAGTTAAAATTAATGGAAATAAGGGGACACACTAATAAAAAGATATATAGTATTAAGAATAGATGCATATGTTAAAAATATATGTAACATTATAAAGAAAAAACATTACTTAGAGCCTTCAAGTTAAAAGAATTCAGTAATACAATATTGTGTGAAACTTTATGGCAGTAATTTTAGAAATCTAAAGGAAAGTAATGGTTTTCTTATGAATTGCCAAATCTTGATCTAAAGATAACTAATTGATCTAAGAGATGAATAATTATAGAACAAAAGCTGAGTGCATATAAAGAGAGAAAGCCTTCCAATTTTATGAAAAGTATCAGCTCTTTAATACCAAAACCTGATGAAGATGGGGCCACAATAGTCATCCAAAATCACTCACTTCATCCATTTTAAAAGTTAGCAAATCAAATCAAACTTAAAGTTTATTCCATAAATACAAGAATGATTTTTGCATTATGAAATCACTCAACATTATTCACTGGTAGCTAAATAAAAGAGAACTATTGAATTACTATTATATCAATGATGCTGGATGTATTTGGTACAATTCAATAGATATTCCTAATAAAAACTAAAAGTAATTTAAGAATAGCAATAAGAATGTACCACATTTCTAAACCAACAAGAGCATCATGGTAGATGGTGACTACGAAAGGATCATGGTACAGATGCCTGGTGGCACTGTTACTCAACTGCTCTAACTCAACTTCCTTTTAAAATTCCAGGGAATGTGATAAGAAAAGTTGAAATAAACTGTATTAACATAGCAGGTAATGTGACTAAGACTATACCTCAATTTTTTTAGAATTATAAAGAATATGGTAAAATTACTGAATGAAAGATAATAGATAAAAGCCAATAATTTGTCTTTATATGAATTAGTAATGGCCAGAAATACAAATGGAAAATCTGCATTATAAAAAGTGAAAAACGAATATCTAGGAGTGAACTTAGTGAGACATAAGACAAAGGCAAAGACAAAAACCTAAGTGATAGTAAAAGACGTTAAAGAAGTAGAGAGCTGTGCTATCTTTTGAATGAAAGAACTTAAAATTCTAAAGATAGCAAATTGTTTCCAAATTGATATATACATTTCTTTAAAATCCTAGTCAGAATCCCAACTTAGAGGTTGAAAGTCTTGTCAGTTCAATCAACGTGATTTTGAAGTCCATATAAATATATAAATGCGGCTGGGGATTTAGCTCAGTGGTT